CTTTGAACCTACGATAAATTACTATAGCATATGAATCAGTATCGAATTGCAAAAAAAAAGTCGTTGTATTTAATAAAACAACAATGTGCGAGTCATGTCAAAATTCCAAAGTTTAGAAATCTTTCAGGGACTCACAAAGTAGTTTTAGAAATTCTGACAAAAACTTTCGCTTCCCCAATATAGTGAGATGAAGCCAATCGTTTCTATCATCTTCAAGTGACCAATGAGATTTTCTAGGATTCACATGAGTCAAAACTTTTAAAACTACTTTGAGAATGTCCGAGTATAATTGGTCAACTTTGAAATTTAAGCAGTACTGCGTCTGATTAATATTTAGCAAGAAAAAGAAATTAGTAGTAATGAGTTGTGAAAGTTATTGTGAAACACGATCTGAAAGAAGTGTTGAAGTGTGTTTAGGGTAGAAATTTTGCACCCACTTCCCTTCCGACAGATCGTGATAGAGAAACTGTATTTCTAAAGCATCAGATAAACAGATAGCTACAAATTTATCACAAAGAAATGAAACAAAAGGATTTCCATTTTATTAGTAACAATAGATCCATCATGTTTCACATTTGTAATCTCCTAATGGATTGCGCTAACAGCTGTTTTTTAGAGAGTCTTTAAAAAAGGTCTCCTATTAAATATTGATGTCATCTGTTATTGTTGAAGTATCATAGCTTTATGTTTTGGTTTTAGTGAATCAAGTTTTAATACTATTGATCATGTTTAATGTGTTTTTAGTTACTGTAGAACTATTGTTACCACGGGTAACACAATAGATACCGAAGCGAAACAAGAAAAAATTATTCTTGATTGTCCACAAAAAGGAACAGCAAGTGAGTTTTATTGGGCTTGTCGAAATGGAGATATTGAACGAGTCAAACAACTGTTATTAACAATATCATATAATGATTTGAATCGACTGGAAGCAAATGGAAGTACACCATTACATGCAGCAACACATTTTGGTCAGATAGAAATTGTTCGTCTACTTCTACAACATCATGGTGTTCAACGACATCGACGAAAACTATATAGTCATACAGCATATGAAGAAGCTAAAACAGATGAAATGCGAGAAATATTTTATCGACCATCGAATGTAAATCGATTTTGTGATAATGAATGTGTTCAAAAGACATTTCAAATTATTCCACCACAGGATCAAAAGTTACAAAAAGAATTAAACGATAAAGATGATTTCATTGATTCTCAATGGCTAACTGGTATTCGTAACGAAGATGAATTACTTATGTTGAAAAAGTGCTTCTATAACGGTAGTGGACGAGCAATTTTTCTGTCAAGTCCATTTAGGTTTTTGTCGATGAAAATAATATCTAAGTACGAAAGTATACTTAAAGAAAATTGGCCGCCATTTTTGGTTCAATTAGCAAAATTAGTTATCGATAAGACGCATCGAGTAAAAGAAATACAAGAAATGATTGATAAGTTTGTAACTCCTTCGCATTCTGAATACAACAAATGTTGTGTATTATTATCGAAATATGTACAAACAGAATTGATCGAATATTTATTGAAAATCTATACATTAGAAACACCATTTTAAGGACAATTAAAAGATGATTATATCTTGCCGGTTATGTGTGCTTTACATATAGGCCTTTCTAGATTGAAAAAACGATATTATAAAGGTCTATTATATCGCGGTGTCTTAATGACAAAAGAAGATTTTCATAATTATTCTTGGGCACTAAGAAACAAAGGAAGTGTTATTGTGACGGAGACATTCTCATCAACGTCATTGAATCAAGATGTAGCAGAAAGTTTTGCTGGTTTGAAACCTCAATCAGATACAATTAGAGTGTTAATGATATTTGATTTTCCTAGTATTTGTGAGAGAGCAATTAATTTGAGTGCAATACCTGAACATCATTTATTGTGCATATCAGAATATGAAAATGAAGCGAAAGTTTTAATACTTCCTTGGACATCATTTATTGTTAAAAACATAGAAATGGATGAAAAATTTACAATCATTTCATTGGAACATTTACGTGTAGAGAACTATTCACTATACGATTCGATGAAAACTTTGTTTGATGAAATAAAAAGTGATCAGCATCAATGAAAATGAAATATTTCACTTTTTTGATGGATGGGTATGGGTGTGAAGTGTGCGGGTGTCGGTGTATGAGTGTTGGTGTGTGTCTTTTCTTCAGGTCTACCACATCCACCCCAACATATCATAAACAAATGTATTATCGTATTGTGTTCTACCATCAAAGTAGATACGTACCCTTTGAAAGCGAATACAATCAAATAAATAACCAAAACTTTTAACGGCAGGTTTTTTTGAGTTTATCTGAAAGAATATAATATCGTTTTGAAGGATGTGAATGTGAGTATGAATGTGTGTGCAAATGAATATAATAATGCTCACAAAAACGCCCCACACTTACACTTACACCAACCTGCAACTACATCCACATCTCACTCACACGTCCACGCCCAGGCCTACACCTTCAAGCTAAAACCATTTGTGATTGGTTGGTATCAGATACATTGCGTCGCACGATACGAGTACTGCGGCACAGTTGTAAAAAAAGAGACGACAATAGCTATATCTTTCATATGGCTGCACGTGGCTCTCAATGTCGGCTTGCAATCATGCAAGCAAATATGCATATTTCATATAGTCTTTCCTTCAGTCGAGAGATTAAATCATTTGGTTTCTTTTCTGTTCATTCAAAAAGATGTTGGCATTCAAAATATAAAAGAAATGGAAATATATATATAGAATATTTAGTCTTTCTCTATTCAAAAATTTTAATAATATATATTAAATAAGCGAAGCCAATTATGTGCATTTTTGTTTTTTCGATGAGGTAGAGCATAGCTTTTTTTTTTATTATACAACACGAATTTTAAGGAATACGAAATACACAGCATGTAATGAAAAAGCATTTGTTTAGTGTGTGCACAGATGATGTTGTTTTCAGACGATGTAACAAAAGTTTCAACTAACATTCATCGAATTCGTCGTCATTACTCTCACATAATGAAAAGAAAAAGACGATCAAACAATGTTATTCATGTAACCATTCGACCTTTAAATAATCAAATATTGACAAAGGAAAATTCACACAATCATCATGATAATTTATCTTCCGTTAGTTTTTTTTTTGTTTCTTTTTCAATACAGATTCGGTTCATTAGATCCGAATTCGAATCAATGAAACATTTGATCAATGATTGTATTCAATTTTTTTCTGATTGCAGTCAAACGGATATTTTAATCGTTCGACTTCAAACCTTCAACAAAAGAATGATTCTTTCAAAACAAATACTAACAATAATCGATCGGCTCAGAGAAATATTTTCGAAACTGAATTACGTACATCACCATTATCCAGAGTAACTTCTTTTAAGGTACTAGTAAATTCCTTATGAAACAAAACCAGTACAATTTACCCAGGTCGATCGTTCCGGCCACCGGATATTGCAGGAACCGGCAGGAAAATGCGGGAAAAATCACCGTATCCTGCAGGAAAACACCGGAAATAGCCGGAACATGGAAGCAGTAGTCCGGCCGGAAATTCTCCGGATTTTTTCCGGTGAATTCCGGCCAATTTCCTGTGTTTTCCGGCAGGAACCGAGAGGAAAATCAGCGGAAAAAATTCCGAAAATTTCCGGCCGGAATACTGCTTCCATGTTCCGGCTATTTCCGGTGTTTTCCTGCGGGAACCGGCCGGTACTTTTCGACCTGGGTAGTTTTATTTTTCCAGGAAATTAGTAGCAATGATCATTTTCGTATTCAAGTAAGATACTTAGTGCATTATCGGTTTTACAATATTTCGTTCTTGAAATGGAAATAGATCATTGGAGCCGAATCAGATCAGCGAGGAGTTATAGAAAATTATCATAAAGATCAAAAGAAACAAAAGAAATATAGCAGGCGAGTATTTTTTTCCTGTCTTTTATTTGTTTCATGATGATTATATATTTAAGATGCGGAGCAGTATGGTTGATCTTTGCTTGTGTGTTACCTTATTTGATGCTTGCAGTTGCTGCTGCCATAGCACTTCCAATGCTTCTCATCAAGCCAACGATCGAAACTACACAAGGTAAATAATGGTATATCTTTGTTTATTTACATAATTATTGAAGTAATTCAAAATCTTTTTTATAGATAAATGAATTAATTTTTCTCTCAGTCAGAAGTGTTTGAAACTATGATGTTGTGCTGCAAAAATTGATGCACATATTATTATCAAATTGAAAGCATCAATTTTTATTGAAATAAGTTTAAATGAAACATGCATTTAGTCTTGATCACTGAATTAATTGGGGAAGATTTAAAACCACAATGTTGCGATTTCTTTATTTATTTCTATAGTTTTCAGAGTATGAAGAAAAATTTATGTAGTTGTAGGATCACTTGCATGAATGAAGCTAATATCATTTTCAGTTCGAATTTAATGTATAAGCGAAGACATTTGAGTTTCGTTGAAGAAATTGATTGAAAATTCTATTTTTCAAATGACATTCAAATATTTATTCTTATTGTTCTGTGTAGATACAGCATCTACAACTTCGGGTGCAGTTACGGCTTCAGTCACGGCCTCAAGTACGACCTCAACTACAACTACAACTATATCGAGCAATCCATGTACGAATAGATACAAAGAGGATATTTATTCAATATTGAATATGCTGGTATTTGTTCTTTGATTTTAGGTTTTGCTGGAACCTATTGGAATGTTACCGGTGTTACATATGCAGGGAATGGAACGAGCGGTGCTGCTTTAAATCAATTATCTTCGCCAACTGGCATATTCGTAACGCCAAATGACACTATGTATATAAGTGATAGTGGCAACTGGCGTATAGTAGCCTATTTACCTAATGCCACTAGCGGTTCTATTGTAGCTGGCACAGGAGTAGGCGGAAGTGCCCTGACTCAATTAGCTATTAATGGAATACGCTATACTTATGTTGATGCAAATCAAGATATTTATATAAGTGATTCATACAATGCTCGTGTTGTGCGTTGGGCAAGTGGTGGTTCTACTGGCGTAAATATAGCTGGTAATAATACTGGTGGAAGTTCACTAAATCAATTAAATTATCCATACGGTATATGGGTAGATTCAAGTTTAAATGTATTTGTGTCAGAATATCAAAATCATCGTGTCACAAAATGGGCATTGGGTGCATCAGCAGGTGTTGTTGTTGCTGGGATTTCAGGTTCCTCAGGTAACTAGAAAGGTAGAGAGACTATTTATTGTCCTATGCGAATCATTATAGTTGAAACGAAAAAGCGTTCGAAGTTCTCTGATAACTATTTGTAGCCGAAAACCTTATGGTTTTCTTCATAGATTGATAAGAAGATCTCACTAATATGGGCAATTTAATCATTTTTGAAAATCAAATAAACATTCATGCACATGAGTGATCTAATATCATTTTTTCTCAAAACGAAAGATTTTGTACTTTGGTGAAGCGTCTTATGCTATAAAGAGTCAAATCCCATCACATCACTCCTAATAAGTATTTGCATATCTTTTATCGTCTGGATTGTTTTCTTCCCTTTTGTCAGTTTGTATCGAATGATAGAATTTATAAGTGTCCAACTTGAAACAATTAGATATACGATAACAATTTTTTCTTTGCTCTTTATTATCATTAGGCTCAACAACAAATTTATTGTCAGGACCCACTGGTCTCTATTATGACGAAGCTAATCAAAACTTATATATTAGCAATTCGAATACCGGTGCTACTGTGATGAAATGGCAAGTAGGCGCTTCAAATGGTACGATCATGGCTGGTCTTGCTGGAAGTCCCGGATCAAGTTCAAGTCAATTAAATACTCCAACAGGAATAATATTAGATCAATGGAAAAACATATATGTGAATGATCGGTCTAATTCTCGAATTCAACTTTTTTGCAACGGTAATTCGACAGGCATCACCATTGCTGGGAGTGGAACTGGTGGAAGTAGTTTATCTACTCCATATGATGTCAAATTAGATTCACAACACAATTTATATGTTGTTGAAAATGCTGCTCATCGTGTTACGAAATTTTTTAAACTATAAGAAATACCAACTGATGTAACTCTTCTCCATTCAACAATGTTTGAACAATCATTCTATCTTCCTTTTTAATTCAACACCCATACCCATGCCCTTCAGGCGTCAGTTCCAAAACGATTTTAATCAAAATACAATTTTTATTGTTTATTCCTTTCTTCTTTCGTGCGGTATTGACTTCTTAAAGGCTCAAATCTTTTTTCTAGTAATCAAACAATTTTAGAAGAAAAATCAGTTTCGAACTGATCCTTGAAGGAGAACTCCAGCTGAATTTTTCGAGACGGAACAAGTTTGTCGAGAAACGTTGAAACACATTGAGGTTTGTTCGATGTTGTATGCTGATTCCAAATATACAACTAGTTTTGACTCAATTTCCACTTTTTCCAATGAAAATCTATCAAAAAGAATTGAAAAATGCAAGGCTGTGGGGTCTCAAGAGAGTTCAGGTCATCTTATTTAACAAAGTCCACTTCTAAAAGAAATCGAAATATATCTGGTTTTGTAGCCGTTCGTTCAAGCTCATAAGAGTCAATCAGATACCCATGTTGTTTTTTTCCTTTCTCGAGATATTGAGAAAACACTGAGCAGAAGTTAACAGAAGATTTAATTTGTTATATTCATATTGAACAGAGATATTCCTTATGCTTACATCAGTGATTATAACTTGACTCATATACATAAACTGACAATATTTTCTTTTATGTTAAATTTAAAATGCAAGTTCAAGATAGAAAATTTTATAAGTTTTGATAAATAAAGAACAAATGTGACAAATGCAATATGTATTGCATCATTGTTAATTTGCCTCTTTCATAATATGCAAAGTGAAATTTGTTAATTTTACAAATTCATCAAGCACGTAAATTTATATTTATACAGAAAACAAATCATGAATTCAATCACGAAGAGATTTCGAAGTTTCAATATGAATCAATCAAGTACAATTATACAAAAAACGACACGAACTATAAGATCACATACCAGAAAAAATGCGTCTCTTTGGCTTTATAGATAATTCATTTGTCTGGATTTCTTTTGAAATACTATTAAACAATAGTTCAACATAAAAATTATATCTTTTTAGGACTTTTAAGGAAGATCGTTAAACTAGGTTCACACTCCAGCATAAATGTTTATTAAAGAAATAGTATCAGACCAAACTGTAGAAGAAGTAATTGATTAGGATGTGGGTGTGAATGTCAAAAACACACCCACACCCCCACATTTGTAAATCATATTCTCCTGTTTATTCATGTTTGCTCTAAGAAAAAAAAATACCTTAAGAGAACATAATAGAATCTAAATTCTTGATTATTTTATAAAAAAAATATTTTTGAACAATTTTCTTCAAGAAAAAGATATTTCTTCATGATCATGCTTTAGTACTAGGATAACATGGCTCGAAGTTATTTGGTATTCGTTCGT